CAGGGTTTTTGACTAGGTCATTCATTTATATAGCCAGAAGTTAAAATGATAGAAAAGGTATACACAGGTCTCATACCCCATAGTCACCTTTATAAAAAATCAGTTCCTATTTATTCTTCCACTGTTTCTTTAGGCAGTTATAAGGAAATATTAACATACAGTAATTTCAGCTAGTGGAAGAATGAAACAGATTAGAATAAGGTAATGTGATAGGGAATGATCAGGGGTGGTGCAGTATTAGTGTGGACAGGCTCTTTGGGGTGGTGATGTTTGCTGAGTGCTGAGTGAGGGAACTGAGCTGGCCATTCAGAGATCTGAGTGTTTCAGAGGGCACAACAAAGCCCCTGGGAACACAGGTGGGAACACGCCTGCTGAGGAGGAAGAGTGACTTGCAGAAGGTCAGAGAGATAGGAGTCAGATCATGTGGCCTTGGAGCCACCAGATAGCTTTAAGCTACATTTTAAAAAGAGCACCTCGACCACAGTCTGGAGAATTGATTATAAAGAAGGAGGGGGAAACCAGCAGGTGAGAGGTGATAGTGGTGTGGACTAAGGGAATAATGGTGGAAACAGAGAATAGATGGCTCCAGACATATATTTGAAGCTGGAAAGACTTGTTGATGGATTGAGTGAGTAGGAGTGAAGATCTGAGGTCGGGGTGAAATCATTACCCAGGGCATGTTGGGAGTTTTGGTGTTGCATGGACACCTGTCCCAGGGACTTAGCCCCTTCTGCCTCTGTGTGTGTGTGTGTGTGTGTGTGTGTGTGTACACAATTTTTTTTTCTAAAGTCTTTTTGTGCAGTTGCAGCTTATTTACTGCTCCTGACTCTAATTGGCTCTGAAAGTGAATCAATTAAGTGAGGGATATGATTGATGCATTCTTATCTCAGCCTTGCTCCCATTCTCCTTAGCATGACTTTATTAAAATCTGACATTCTCATCTAATTTCAAGGAGATTAAGAGAAAGCATGTTCCCTTCTTCAATAGCAGGGCTCATAGAAAACCTTGAGTTTCCCATTTTGTCTCTGTGATCCCTTGAGTCTAGCCAGTCCTTATCTCAGCCTCTAGGTTTCTGTTTCCCAGATGGTGCTGGCAGTAACTGCTTTCTAGGTTGAAGTCAAGACAAAGACTTGTGTTTTGTTAGGCAGTGAGATTTTCACGTAGAATCAGGTTTAAATGGCATTTCTCCCCTAAAAATTGGAGACATCCCCCGACATTGCGTGTTGATGGGCCCCAGAGAAAGTGCTCTTGGACATCATCTGCCAGGCTCTGGTGTTTGCCTTCCTCCTCGAACTCCCCTTAAACCAGAGTTTGCAAATTCACTGGCAGATTAGAGCAGAGTAAGCTGGGCGGCTAGTTCATATTAAGGTGGCTACACTGAGAAGAATTATGTACTGGGGAAGGCGTGTGACTTCAGTTCTTGTACCTTAGTGATGACAGGCGGGTCCCCAGTCAAGCCTGCTTTTAGGTATGGAGCAAGGAGTGAGTCTTACTTCATTGGCTGGAATCATTCCCTGGTAAAATCCATTCCTGCCAGTCTTTTTTCAAAGAATTGAAGGTGATTGTGCGCTGCCTGCCTCCTGGTCTGAGAAAAACCAAGCTTCCCTTTAAAAATAGTAATAACCTTTTTTTAAAAAAAAACTTTTTCATTTTGAAATGATTTCAGACTTGCAAAAAAACTGCAAAAATAGTACAAAGAATTCCTATTTCCATTTTACCCACACTTATCAAATGTTAATATTTTACCACACTTGCTTTAGTGTTCATATGTGAACAGTGAATTGTTTTTTGAAATGTTTGCCAAGGTGCACCTGGGTGGCTCTGCCGGTTAAGCGTCTGCCTTCGGCTCAGGTCATGATCCCAGGGTCCTGGGATTGAGCCCCGCATCAGGCTCCCTGCTCAGCGGGGAGCCTGCTTCTCCCTCTCCCTCTGCCGTTCCCCCTGCTTGTGTGCTCTCTCTCTGTCAAATAAATAAATAAAATTAAAAAAAAAAAAAGAAATGTTTGCCAATAAATTGCATGAAACCCCTTTACATCTGAATATTTCCTAAAAACTTTTTAATATTTCCTAAAACAAAGATATTGTCTTAAACTGACACAGTATGTTGATCAAAATCAGGAAATTAACGTTTATAATACCATATACTATAATGTTATATCTACCTTATTCAGATGTTGTCAATTGTCTTGTCACTGTCCTTTGTTTTAGGAGCACACATTGCATTTGGTTGTCTTGTCTTTTGTCTCCTGTAAGTGGAATAGTTCCTCAGCCTTTGTCTTTCATGAGCTTGACACAGTTGAAGAGTACAGACCAGTTATTCTGTAGAATGACCTTCAATTTGGTCTTGTCTGATATTTCCCTTTGAATTCAGGTAGTGCATTTAGGTCAGGAAATCACAGATGCGGTGATGTGTGCGTAATGCCAATTTGTGCTCTTACTGATGATAGGAACTTTGATCACTTGATTATGGTCGTGTCTGCCTGGTTTCTCCACTGTTTGTTTTTTTTCTTTCAAGATGTATTTATTTATTTGAGAGAGAGAGTGCACATGGCAGGGAGTGGGGAGAGGGAGAGAGAAACTCTAAGCAGACGCTACACTGAGCTTGGAGCTGATGTGGGGCTTGATCTCACGACCCTGAGATCACGATCTGAAGCAAAACCAAGAGTCGGAGGCTCAACCGACTGCGCCACCCAGGTACCCCAAGTTATTTTTTTTTCTTTCATAATTAATAAATATCTTGTGGAGAAATGTTTTGAGACAATATAATTATTCCATTTCCCAGTAATCTCTCACTCACCAATTTTAGGATCCACTGATGAGTTTTGCCTGAAGCAGTTATTACCATGGTGGTTGCCAGTGGTAAGTTTCTATTCTTATCAGTTGGAATTCTGTTGTAAGGGGCGTTGTTCCTTCTCCCCAATTTATTCATTCATTCTTTTATTTATTTATATCACTGTGCATTCATGGATTCTTGTTTATGTAGTCTGATACTCATTTATTTTGCTGCTCAGGTTGTCCCAGATTTGGTTAGAGGGAACCTCTTTAAGCTGGCTCCTCTGTCCTTTTTTTTCCCTTCCACCTCTAACGGCTTTATTGAGGTATAATTTACATACCATACAATTGATTCATTCACTATAAAGTAGAGGTTGATCACTTGTAGTAAGTTTGTACATTTGTGCAACGATCGCCACCATCTGGTTTTATTTTTTTAAAGATTTTACTTATTTATTTGAGAGAGAGAGAGCGAGAGCACACAGAGGGAGAGTGACAGGGAGAGGCAGACTCCCTGCCGAGCAGAGAGCCCAATGCAGGGGCTCCAACCCAAGACCCTGAGACCTGAGCCGAAGGCAGACACTTAACCGACTGAGCCACCCAGGTGCCCCCACCATCTGGTTTTAGGACACTTTCATCACCCCATAAAGTTCCCTCATTCCCAGTTATAGTCATTCCTTGCTCCTACCCTCAGCCTCAGGCAACCACTGATTTACTTTCTATCTCTATAATTTTGTCTTTTTTAGAAATTTTATAAAAATGGAGTCCTACAATATATAGTCTTTTGTGTCTGGCTTCTTTTTCTTAGCAGAATGTTTCTGAGGTTAATCCAGGTTGTTGCCTTTTATTGCTGAGTAGCATTCCATTTTGTTTATTACTATACCAGTTGATGGACATTTGGATTATTTCTAGTTTTTGCCTATCAAGAAAAATGCTGCTATGAATGTTTGTGTGTAAGTGTTTGGACATAATGCTTTAATTTCTCTTTGGTAGATACTTGGGAGTGGAATTGGTGGGTCATTATATATTACAGTTTTTTGAAACTGACAATCTGTTTTTCAGAGTGGCTGTATCATTGTATATTCCCATCAGCAATGTAGGAAAGTTCTAATTTCTCCATATTCTGGTCAACACTATTATCAATCCATTTGATTATAGCCATTCTAGTGGGTGTGTAGTAGTATCTTACTGTGGTTTTAATTGTCATTTTCCTAATGAATAAAGATATTGATCATCTTTTCATGTGCTTATTAGTCACTTATACATCTTCTTTAGTGAAATGCTTATTCAGATATTTTGCCTATCTTTAAAATTGCCTATTTAAAAAAAAAATTAATTGGGTTGGTTTTCATCTTCTTGAGTTCTGAGAGTTCTTAGCATATTCTGGATACAAGTCCTTTATAATTGCAAATATTTTCTCCCAGTTTGTAAATTTTTCTTTTCATTCTCTCAATAGTGTTTTTCTAAATTCTTCATTGATATAATCTAGTTAACAGCTGGACTGTTATATTTTCTCTTAAAATTTTTCAATTGCCCAAAGTCATAAACATTTTCTCCTGTGTTTTCTGCCAGAAGTTTTATAGTTTTAGTTCTTACATTTAGGTCTCTGATCCAGTTTGAGTTAATTTATGGTGTAAGGTAAGAGTCTGAGTTCATTTTTTTGTACATGGATATCTGCTTCTTCCAACATCATTTGTTAAAGGTTATCCTTTTCCTCATTAAGTTGCAGAGGCAACTTTATTGAGAATTGACCATAAATATAAGGATTTATTTCTAGACTCTATTTGGTTCCATTGATCTATATGTCTGTTCTTATGCCAATACCACATTATCTTGATTACTGTAACTTTATACTAAATTTTGAAATCAGGTAGTATAAATTCAATTTTGTTCTTTTTTTTCAAAATTGTTTTTGGCTGTTCTAGGTCTTTTCCATTAACATATAAATTTTATGATCAGCTTGTCAATTTCTCCAGAAAAGCCTGCTGAGATTTTGATAGGAATTGCGTTTACTCCATAGATCAGTTTGGGAAGAATTGCCATCTTAACAATATTGAGTCTTCCAATTCATGAACATGTTATATCCCTCCATTTATTTAACTTTTTAATTTCTCTTGGGAGTGTTTTGTAGTTTTCAGTGTACTTCTTTTATTTGATTTTTTACTTGTTAGTATTTAGAAATAAATTAGTTTTTGTATATTGATCTTGTATCCTATAATCTTACTAAACTTGCTTACTTTAATAGGTTTTTTGTAGATTTCTTAGGATTTTTCTATGTACCAGATGATGTCTCCGGCAAGTAAGTATAGTTTCACTTCTTCCTTTATAATCTGCATGCATTTAATTTCTTTTTCTTGCCTTATTGCACTGGCTAGAATTTCCGGTGCAATGTTCAACAGAAATGAGGAGAGTAGACATCCTTGCCTTGTTCTCAGTCTTAGAGGGAAAACGTCTAGGTTTAACTGTTAGCTGTGATGTGAGCTATTTCTGTGATCTTATGATACGTCTCTATCACAATTTGAGAATTTCCTTAGTTTTTGCAGCATAAGAGACACTTGGGCTCATCTGATGCTTTCCATGCCCCAACTGTTCTCCAAGGAGCTCTAGTTCCTTGGTTTCTTTTATTGACAAATGGTACGTAGTGATCAGGGTCTAGGCACTAGGTGAGTAACAATCACTTTTTAACTCTTCTCCCAATGTTTTCAGAAATCCCAACCATCTAGTTATATAAAAAATGTAAGAGCCGGAAGCAAGGGTTTTCTCTGGGTATATCCCAAAGCACTTTTCAATTGTTTTTTTAGTGCCAACTCAGACCTGCCACTGAAGAACCCAGTTACTGGTAATATAATAAATTTCACAGATGTTTCCAGATGACAAGACTACTATGTCTTTTTATAAAAGAACATTATTTGTACTAGCTGAAATTTTGCAGTGGAATACTCTTTGCCTTCGCCAAGTGTGTCCCCCTCCCCACCCCTCTTCATGGAAGCTTGAGAAGAGGGCTGAGTGGAGAGAGATCATTTGGTGCTAGTCATAATGAGCCTGATAACTGCCATCCCTTGAATGTTTAGTGTGGACCATGCACTGTGGTTTATGTGAATTTTCCCAAGAACCCGTTCCTCAGCTGCTCTGCCCTAAACTAACCTTTCTTTTCAGCTGGGCATTTTCCTGTTTGGACCTTGATTGAGGAACTTAACCAGAAACAGGCTTGTTTGCTTCTAAACTTGAACTCTGCAGGCAATAGAATAGTGTTTGTATCCCCTGTTCACCCCTTAAGTCCTCCTATTCCCCAGGGATAATGTGTAGGAGCAATAAAGATATAAGATTAATAGCTCTGTGAAATGTGTTAGATTGTTCAAAATACTTTTTTCCAGATGAGGTCAGTGTGTTGGCTCCTTAAAGTAAGTTCCTCACAAGCTGTCGATTGGAGGGTCAACTGATGGTGGATCCTTTAGGCTTAGTCAGAGAGAGTAAGTATGAATGCCTTTGCTTATTTTTAAATAGTGGATATATGTGGCTAAAAAAGTGTATGTAAATTGAATGAAAGTAATGGGATTTGTGAATCCTTTAATTTATATAATCACCAATTACTCTAAGTTTAGGTTTGCTTCAGTTGGGTGTTTTTATTCTTTTATTTTTATTTTTTATGTTTTTAAAAGATTTTATTTATTTATTTGACAGAGAGCATGCAAGCACAAGTAGGCAGAGAGGCAGGCAGAGGGAGAGAGAGAAGTAGACTCCTTGCTGAGCAGGGAGCCCGATGCGGGACTCGATCCCAGGACCCCGGGATCATGACCTGAGCTGAAGGCAGACACTTAACGACTGAGCCACCCAGAGGCCGCTTAGTTGGCACTTTCTAAGACAAGGCTTCCATCAGTAGCCTCTGTGAGGCCTCCTACATATATAAATGCCTTTCCTTCTTGTTCTCTTGCCTTTGATGTCTCATCCTAAAATATTTCCTGGGAGATGGGCAGCCCGTCTCTGAGATTCTATAGGCACACACACAGACACACCAAGTTTGTGTCATCTCAGTGCACTTAGACATTTGAGGGAGATGGGGAGAAGGATCTCCCAGACATTGTGTCAGGAGCCCAGGGTATACCACAGGGGAGAGGTTTTATGACCTCAGGGAAAAACGACCTTCTGGGTGTAAGCTATCTGTGGGGTCTGGCTGCCAGACCTTATTTGGCAATCTAGACTTTGACTTTATGGCCAGAAACCACTACTCTCAGTGTACTGTATTTTGCAACTATTTTCTCATTTCCTCTACTTAACATTTTAGACCACCTAGGCCTTTTTAAAGTTTGTCACTCCTCATTCCTGTAGGGAGATGGGGTCATTCCGTGGCACTTGAGTGGTAGTGCTATTAAGGGCCACATCTGGGAAAAGGTGGCCTGTGGCAGCAGTCAGAGGTTCCTGGGACCCAGGTTGCCTGAATTTTCTAGCTAGGTCCCTGCTTCCCCTTCACATGGAGTTGTGATTTCATCAAGAATCTCTGTAAGGCGAAGGAAGAAGGTTGCTTTTAGTGACCATTTCCTCCTCTAAACCAGACACTACTTCTGAGGCAGAAACTGTGGTACCAGGGCAGAACGTTTGTATGTGGTACTGCTATGAGTGCTACTGTTTACTTCATGTTCTCGAATCTGCTCTGTGTAGATTATCTGACGTGACAGACTTGTTTTGCTCGGTAGTTCCTGACAGTCATATTAGCCAACCCTGGCTGTCTTTTACTAGCAATTGAGCTCTTTCCCAGAAAGAGACTTTTACAGAACCGTCTCATCATCTGCTTGGCCCCTGTGTCCAGATAATGCTTCCTTAGGGAGATAGGTGGCTCTATTCTAAGCTGCCGTCCTACACATCATGGGGACTATGGAGGGAACAAGGAGTGGGGAACAGCCATTGCAAAGACATACGAGATCTGGAATCCTGTTAGTCAGAGAGAGGAGAATCCACTTGACTCTGGTGCTTGCCCAGCTGGCCCGCTTCACACTCTGCCTGGGAGCCGGCCACCCGCAGCCTCTGAAGAGGGTGGGAGTGTATTCTTTGCTTTCCTCTTCCTCATTTGTATTAGAAGTCAAGCTAGCCAGATGCCAGGCCACTCACATTCAGTATTCCTGGCCTGGATTCATGTGATGTAATGCAGAGAGGCAGACACTGCATGGTGGGAGGGTTCTTTTCACCCAGCCCCGGGGTAGTGTGCAGTGGGCATCCATGGCTACGGGGGAAAGTGAGATTGGCCGTGGTGCTGATGAGAATGCATGCTCTTACAAGCTGCAACCCCGACGGGGCTCAGTATAAACTGGGAGAGTGTTTCCAACCTGGGTTTTGTCTTGTCCCTGAAGCTTTAGGATAACTGAGGGGACAGGGACGAGGCGTGTGTTTCATTCCTATTTAAGAGGCATTTGGAGTCAGACAAACTCGAGTTTTAATCTTGGCACCACTCATTATTAATTATACAAGAGTTACTTAGCTTTTCTGATTCTCGGATTCATCGTCAGTAAATTGAGCGTAAGGTTTTTGTGAGGATTCAATAAGACCGCAGAGGCGAAGTGCCTAGCACGGTACCTGGCATTTGTTAGGTGCCCAAATTAGTATTCACCACTGCTAGTGTGTTTCCCCTTCACTCACTGAACTTTTGCAGTTTATTCATCCCACGGAATATTGAGCACTTACTGTGTTCCAGATGCTGCTGGGGACATGAGCTAGCAGAAAACCAGCATGTGGCTCCTGGTCAGATGAGTGGTGCATTATTACAGTTCAGTGTGGTAGAAGCGGTGATGGTGGCCTGCACGCGGATGAGGCATCCTGTTCAAAGAGGAGAGTCCGGGAAGGCTACCTGGAGAAGGGGGTGTTCAAGCTGATGACTTTTAAGTCTGGTGAAAGAGAAGGAGAGGACTCCAGGGAGGAGCACTTGTAAAGGCATGAAGGTCGGAGATAGCGGGATGCACGTGAGGAAGCACGAGTGGGGTATTTTTCAGGCCGCCCAGGGCAGTTTCATTTCTTTGGCTCTTTTCTCCCATCCCTTTGGTGTGTCTGTTGGGTTGCATGGGGAGGGCAAGACATGGATTCCTGAAACAGAACGACGTGAGTTGGGATTGTGAATCTGTTGGGTGTACACAACACACACATGTGGTCTGGTAAAGTCCTTGGCGGGCTTTGACTCTTCCCTTGTGTCTGCTTCTCTACCATAAATGCACGGAGTGTAATCAGCCCCTGCACAGGATTTCCGTGGTTTGGACTTGGTGGAGGTCCATTTTCTGTCTCTTTAATTTAAGGTTTCTGGCATCAAAATCTAGTTTTAGAACTTAGGCTGTTTTTAGCCCACTGTCATGTTGAATACTGGCAGCCATGAGTTGTGGTTTTTGTACCCTGTCCTTGAGAAAGAATCCACATAGGTCAGCTTTGCAGGAAAAGAAGGTGACGTCATGTGGCTTCTGCAGGCTTTCTGTTGGTAGACAACACCAATAGTTCCTATAGATGAAGACAGGAATCATGGATCTTCCTTGGCCATTAGTCTCTTATCAGAATATGAGGTCCTCTCCCCATTGAAGTTTGTGGGGTTTTTTTGTTTGTTTGTTTTGGGTTTTTTTTTTAAGATTTTATTTGAGAGAGAGAGTGCACGCGTGCTCGCGCACAAGTGGGGGAGGGGCAGAGGGCGAGGGAGAAGCAGGCTCCCTGCCGAGCAGGGATCCCCAATGCGGGCTCCATCCCAGGACCCTGGGATCATGACCTGAGCCGAAGGCAGCCACTTAACCAACTGAGCCACCCAGGTGCCCCGAAGTTTGTGTTTTAAAAGTAATTTGAACAAAAAAATTCTCTGCTAATTCTTTCCCTGTAGCCACTACAAAAACACTTCCTTGGTATGGATGCCAGGATTCCATTCAGAATTATCCCAGTTGAGTGACTTCTTATAGAAGGGTCTTGTTTTTCCAACCCTCTGGATGCTGTCATTTGTGAAAACTGGAGATTATTTTGTGACTTTGATTTAGAAAGTAAGTGACCATGCTTAACAGACTTTGGAACTCAGAATTACTGGCTGGTTTTGCCTTAGAGGAGACATCGAATGAGGGAACGTCTGAGACAGGCCCTCCCACCTGAGGTCAGCCCAAACTGATGCCTGGGGCTTGGGGTGAAGCAAGCTCTCCTCCTTCTTCCCCTGTATTCTACTCCCTGAACTCTTCCTGTCCCACCATGGCTGCTGGAAATAAGGTCACTTTAAGTAAAAATAATGTTGGTGTCCAGTTCTGTTTTGTTTCTTCTTTTTCCCATCAACACGTGTGATGGGATTTAAGTCTATTATAGCTGGCGACACGCTTGGAGAGGTGAAGTCAGTGTCTCAGCTTCCGAGTGAACTCCAGAGGTCAGCAGGGGAAGTCTCTGCTTCTGTCTCAGCTTGTCACACCTAGCCATGAAAAGCAGACCACACCAGGGGCCTCTGAGAGTTGGTCAGGGATGAGTAGATGTAAAATAGGTTTCTCAAGTAACCCCTGACCTTTCAGAATTGGTTGGTGAGGAGGAAGATATTGGCTGGTTTCTCTGCCACCCCCGGACTTGCCTTATTAGGAGAGAGAAGGAAGTCGCTCAGTGAAGTCACGGATGGTGAGACAGAGAGATGCATTTTTCTTTGGAGAGAGAGCAAAGAGCTCTGAGGGAGTGGGAACCTGTGAGTGGACTCCTTGGTGGCCCAGTCCCTGATGAAGCTGGCTCTGATTGCGTGAGGGCAGCCGGAAGACTGCTGAAAACACTGGAGGAGTCTAATGTTCTTCTCTGGGGCTCCTAAGTGACAGCCATGGCTGGTTGCCCTGGGGGGGGACAGAGGTGGGGCTCCGTTGCTTCACCGAGGACCGCCGTAGCATGCGGTCTGTCCTCCCGGGACAGTAACATTCCCAACGGCTTCTCTTCCCTCCAGGCTGACGGACTTCGAGAATGCAGCTGCCGCGGCTACCGGAGGTGCGTGGCACCTGTTCCGAGTTGGGCCACGAGGCCACGCGGCCATGATGGGGGCCCCTCATGGCCTCCGCAGGAACAGAGCACTACAGTATTGGCCTCCGCCAGGGAACCAGCTTCAAGCAGAGCGGCCCCTCCGGCTCGGTGCCCGCGCGGCCGCCGGAGAAGCCCTCTGAGGGCAGAGGCTGCGCGCAGGCCCATCAGCAGGTGAAGCCAATCTGGAAGCTGGAGCGGAAGCACGTGGGGACACTGTCAGCGGGGTTGGGCCCCGGCCTCTTGGGTGTCCCAACCCAGCCAGCGTATTTCTTTTGCCCTGGCGCTTTGTGTAGCTCAGGGCGCTCGGCTGTCATCGCGGGCCGCAGCGGCTCCCGTTCCCTGCACTCCCTCCCAGACCTGTTCAGCGGCACCCTGCTGAACCGCCGCACCGGCTACGGGCACAGACCCTACCAGCAGCTGGAGTCCTTCTGCTTGCGCTCCAGCCTGCCGGAAAAGAGACCTCTCTCTCTCCCTCCAAAGAGCCTCCCTGTCAGACTCACTGCCAGTAAGGCCCCTTCTTTCACGGTCTCCCCCATGGCCCAGCCCATGGCGTCCTCCACAGATCCGTACCTCTCACTGGGCGCGGCTGGGGAAAACCCTTCGGGGAAGAGCCTGGCCTCTGCCATCTCAGGGAAGATCCCGTCTCCGCTCGCCTCCCCCCACTCCTCCTACAAGCCCATGCTGAATAACAACTCCTTCCTGCGGCCAAATAGCACTAAAGTGCCTTTATCGCAGGCCCCAGAGGGCCTGAATACAGTACCCTCACCCAAGGCCCATCTCGTCCCCTGGCATCATTCAGGGGGCACCGGAGACTGTGCACTCCAGCCCGTGGAGCACAAGGTGCCCCAGAGCAACGGCACTGTCCCAGGTGACGCCCCGGCCCCTAGCACCCTGTCCGCACCTCGCTCCTTCGACACTCTGACCACCAGTGTTGCCTCTTCCCAGTACAACCGCAGTAACTTAGCCGCAAGAGCAGAGCCGCATTCTTGTGGCCTGGATGGTGACTTGGTTCCTCAGGCTCTGACTAAGGAGGTTCGGTTCACCGAGGCCGTGAGGAAGTTGACTGCAAGAGGCTTTGAGAAGAAGCCAAGGCAAGGCTCCCAGTTTGAACAGTCTTGTTTCCTGAGCCCCGGCTTGCAGTGTGATCTCCTCAACAGGACCCGGCAGTGGAGACCTCCCGTGGTAGGCCAGCAGTTCCCGCAGGAGGATGCCGAAGCAAACAGTAGGATCCCCCCTAGCGCCTCGGACACCTTGGAGTTGGACAGTACAGTCTTCTGTACCAAACGCATCAGCATTCACCTCCTTGCCTCCCATGCCAGTGCGCTCAGCCACAGCCCTGCCTGTGGATCTGCGATGGACTCCCTACCACTTGGAGAAGACAAAACTCCCGTTCTGCCTTCTCCCCCTCAGCTGCTTGGTGTAGCTGACGTGGCCACCCGCCTTTCTTCCATCCATCTGGGCCAGCTTGGGAAGGAGGGGCCTAAGGAAGCCAGGGGACTGGACTGCCCTGTTAGGGATATCGGGTAAGTAAGAGAAAGTTTTTGATTCCTTTAGACGCAATAGAATGTATACACCATAATTTGGTGACACTGACCCTACGTCTCTGAAGGTGGTTTTATTTTTTTGGCTGCCCTGGAATTTTGGTTTTCACTTTAGGGCAGAGGTTGGCAAACGTAGACCAGCATGTGGGCCAAATCTCACCCACTGCCTGCTTTTATGAATAAAGTTTTATTGAAACGCAACCTCACCCATTCGTTTATTGCTGTCTGTGGCTACTTTCCTGTTACAGTGGTAGGGGTGAGTAGTTGCACCAAACTGAATGGCCCGCAAAACTGAAAAGATTTACTATCTAGTCCTTTAGAGAAGGAGTTTGCTGACCCTGCTTTAGGTTATAACCAGGAAGAAATAATACCAAACGTTGGGGCCTGTGACTTTTCTACTTAATTTCAAACCACATCAGGCTCTCTGTCATTCCTTGTTTCAGAGCCATTTCAGAGTTAGGGCATACACAAACCTGGCTCCTTCTCTTGTGCCTTGTTACTTCTCTGGAACCTTGGTCCACCAAGGCCTTGTTCTGAATTCCCAGAGGTCCAGGGACCTGTGAAGTCAATTACCAGACATTCATTGATGGTATTTTGTATTCAGAATTTTGCACTGAAGTGCTGTGGAGGGACTTCAGAGAAGATGGGAGACAGAGTGCCTCTCTGCACAACAGGGGCTGTGGGGTTGAGGAACTATGGCTAGACCTAAGCTCTGAGGGCAAGAAAAATGAGTTGTGAGATCCGGGCAAGAGACGGCAGGTTGGTGAGTGGGGAGGAGACAAACACTGGGAGGTGATGAAGGAATGAGAATCTAGCTGTGACCTCTCTCTTACGGACTGGGCTGGGGCATGATTCTTTCTTACAGTTCACCTGCAGACCCCCAGCTAGACCTGGGTGAGGCTGAAGATCTAGAAGAAGAGCTAGTAGATGGTTTGGAGGACTGCTGCAGCCATGATGAGAACGAAGGGGAAGAGGGTGAGTAAGGGACCCTCTCCCCTCCAACTGGGAAGTGATCACCACCCACGTGGGAAGGGGGCTGACAGTTGTATACTGGGTCCTTGACTCACTTTACCCCCTACCATAATCATTTGCCTTGTGGGGGTAAGGGCGGTAGTGGCTTCTGGGAAATTGGTTCACTAGCCCTGCGGTCCACCAGTCTTCTTTTCTCTGCGCTACTGCCAAGCTCACGGAAGGCAGTGCAAGGCGGCAGGGGGGCGCTCGTGGCTCCGCAGGAAGGCTGAGCCAAGATGCCCAAGGGAGAGATGCCTAGGCTTGGTGGGTTTTGTAGCAACCTCTCTTAGTGGAACGTCTCTGCTCTTTCCCCTCCAGGAGACTCAGAGTGTTCCTCATTCAGTGCTGTCTCCACCAGCGAGTCAGTAGCAGTGATCTCTCGGTGAGTGTTGTGTCGATCGTTGGTACAGGCTCATTTGCTCTCTCTTTAAGACTATAAAGAGAGGGGCGCTTGGGTGGCTCAGTCGGTCCAGCTGCTGACTCTTGGTTTCAGCTCAGATCATGATCTCCGCACTCAGTGGGGAGTCTGCTTGAAGATTCTCTCCCTTACCGTCGCCCCACCCCCCGCTTGCTCACTTGCACTCTCTCTCAAATAAATAAATCTTAAAAAAAAAAAAAAGATTATAAAGTCATTAATGGCCCTGTTAACCGTAACTCATTTTTACCAGATTTTTACATTTGGGACTCTAGTTTGCAAACAAGGACCAATGGAAGTCTCTTCATGTAGGCCCTTCCTTTACAAAACAGGTTGTTGGAGGATGCTGCATAACTGAGATGGGGAGTCAGGGGAGAGGAAGGAATGCAGGACTGTGAGGAAGTTACAATAAATGAGGGCGTGTCATTGTGCTAAAGATCCTTGGAACTGGCTAAAGGATCATATATGCCATCTTTCGGGTAGAAAGTTAACACGCTTCAACATAATCTTGTTCCCCTCACCGCTTCCCACCTTGCCTCATTATATTGGTCTATTAAATATTACAAAGAACTCCCCTCCCCAAAGTACTAAACATTAAAGTTTTTTCTTTTTAAAAATAACTTCTACTGAAAATGTAAAAAAAACAAACAAAAACCCCCGAAGTACAAGTATTGACAATTGGTGAGTTTTGTTCTGTTTTTCATGCAAAATGTCTCTTCATTTTAATGAAAAGCCACCTGTGTCAAGGCTAACCCATACCTGTCATACGTAGCACCCGCACTCAGCTTGCTTTTCTCTGCGTCCGCTGTGCCTCAGATGAAGCCAAGGCGACCAGGAGCCTTCCATGCTTTGGTTAATGTGGCCTTGTCCACGCAGCTCTGTGCGTGTGATGGTGGAGGTGACTGCATCAGTGTCAAAGCTCCAAGCCAGCAAGGGGGGGCAGCTGTTTGCAAAGTGGAGAGACAGAACTAGGACTTTCTGTGAAGGGCGATAGAAATCCTGTCTTAGGTACCTTGAGTCTGGTGCCTCAGTTCTGTTACTTTGAGCCTAACCTGCCCTCCTTCCAGAAAAACAAAGGTACATCTGGATGTTGCCTGAGGACCTCTACTCTCCATAAGAGAAGGATACTTATTACGTGATTGACTTGGAATCTCATGTTTTCCATGCTTAAGGGTGCTCTAGGTTTGTCTTTCAGGCCTCTTTTGAGACAGCTGCATGGCCCTTTACTTAACTTTTCTGATTTATAAGATAAAATTCACCAACGGTGTTTACTTATAATTTGTTTTTTGGTTAATTTAACTCCTACAAGATGTACTGTCCTTGTCTCTACAGGCTTAAATGGATTTTCAAACAAATGGAGGTTGATGAGTTCCAAACCACTTTGCATTTTAAGGATGACTAAAATCAGAAATACTTTTGGATTGTTAAAATCATTTTCTCTGAATTGTGAGAGATGCATATATTTTATTATAGAAAAGTTGACAATTTTAGAAAGGTCATTGAAAACATTGTCTCTGTTTCTCTACCTAGCAATAGTTTATTGTCTTTCCTGTTGCATATTCTTTTTCTCAAAGAATCACTTAATTTTAGAGCTGGAGGTCATTAAGTCCAGACTCTTTTTTCAGATATGAGTATTGAGGACCAGAGAAGTTAACTATTGTGGGGCCATAGTTTCCAGCTTCTAGACCAGAAGCCAGGCCTCTTGAGGATGATCAGTCCAGTACTCTTGAGAGGCAGCTAACAAAGATTTTCTGCCCTTTTTTTTTTAATTAAAATTTTGATTTTGAGACAATTACAGATTCACATGCAGTTGTAAGAAATAATACAGAGATCCCCTCAACTCTTTACTCGGTTTCCCCCAGTGGTGACATCTGACAAAACTAGGGTGATGTAGTATAACCAAGAGAGTAATATTAGTCAAGATACAAATATGTACATCACTGCAGGAATCCTCCTGTTGTCCTAATAGCCACACCTACTTCCCTCCTATGACTAGCCCCTCCTTAATGCTTGGCAACCACTAATCTGGTCTATAATTTAGTCATTTCAGGAATATTATACAAATAGAATGATTGCCGTATGTAACTTTTTGGGATGAGCTTTTTTTTACTTGGCGTATTTGCTGCAGATTTATGTAGGTTGTTGCATGCATTGAGGCTTTTCATTCCTTTTTATTGCTGAGCAATGTTGTGTGGTGTGGATGTATGTACCACAGTACATTTGCCTGTTGAAGGATATTTGGGTTACTTCCAGTTTGGGCTATTACAAATAAAGCTGCTGTAAACCATCATATACATATTTTTTAAAATTTTTTAATTTTTTTTAAGTAATCCCTACGCCCAACGTGGGGCTTGAACTCACAACCCCGAGATTAAGAGTCACAGGCTCTACCAGTGGAGCCAACCAGGCGACCCTCATGTACATATTTTTGTGTGAACATAAGTCTTCATCCCTCTGAAATCCATGTCCAGGAGTGCAGTTGCTGGGTCGTGTGGTAGTTGCATATTTAGTCTTTTTGTTCTTTTTTTTTTTTTTTAATTTTATTTATTTATTTATTTGAGAGAGTGAGCACTAGCAGGAGGAGGAGCAAAGGGGGGCGGAGAAGGAGGGGAAAAGAATCTCAAGCTGACTCCGAGCTGAGTGTGGAGCCCGATGCGGGGCTGGATCTCACAACCCTGAGATCATGACCTAGTTGACCGACTGAGCCACCCAGGCACCCCACATGTTTAATTTTTAATGGCCATACCATGTTACATTCCTATCTTGTCTTTGTTTCTAAATCTTAACTCCTTGATTTTCAGCAATCTTAAATTCTAATACTCTGTAAATTAAAAGCCTTCGAAATAAAATATTTTGGATGAGGAATTAAGAGTTGGAATTATTTAACTGAGAATTAGTATTTAACTTGAACCAGTAACACTCTTTAAAAATCTTTAAGAGTTTAAACACTGAAATGTTTTCCATACTGGTGCCTTTTTATGTTGTCCTGGAAAATAACAGGTAGAATGGCTCTTTATAAGCTAAAGATTAATCTTAAATAGTAATCTTTGTGGGTCATGTCAGCTCAGTAGAGAGAGTAATAACTGTTTTCTTCTTTCCCAGTGCTATTTAAAGACATGGTCTGGGTCTGTCCGCTTGTACCTGGTACATAGTTGAAGTGTTCAGTTTTTAGAGAGCCTTTGAGATCGCCTTGGCTGAGCCATCTGCCCCAGATTCCCAGTCCTGTGTTACCACACTGTTACATAAAAACCTGATGTCCCGGGTCATTTCCAAAATGGAGAAGAGCCTTCATCATCTGCATATCTTCAGATTAGCCTAAATATAAAATGAGTTAGAAGTATCCCTATTTCTTTCCTTTCTGTTGCTTTTTTTTTCCTTTTGCTTTTTAAAACTCTGTATACGTCTTCTTAGGTCTTTTCTGCTCTTCCTTATTTTTCTCTGTCCATATCAATTGTTTTTGCTCCTCATTTACTCCACTTTGTTCAAGTGTCGCATACCTGCTCTCAGAACCACTCTCTCCAGGGGCTTCCCCTGCCTGTGGCTTGTCACCGGAAATTTTGGAGCTGTATCACAGAAGGAAGTATTGGAAAGTCTGGTCTTTAGGTGACATGTAACGGTGCTGGCCCTGGCACAGGATGGATTCCTGTTTGCAAAATAATGACTGAGTATTTGTCTTTGTAGAATCACAATGTAGAAGACCGCACCCTGAAAGAAATGACGGAGTAACAGCACTTCAGGGCTGTGGCCTCCCCTTTCTCTACCACACGTCTTTTTTGCATCCTAGGAGCTGTGCGGAGATTCTGACCAAATCCCTCTCCACTGAGAAAATTGTCCGGCCAGCCCTCATCTACAGCCTCTTTCCCAACGTGCCCCCTACCATCTATTTTGGCACCCGGGATGAGAGAGGTAAACCCGGCCAAGTGTCTAAGCCCAGAAGTGCCCCCAGGAGAAGGATGCTAGCGAAGTTGGGAGGAGGTGGCAGTAGGGTGCAAGGGGCTTTCCAGAATGGCCTTTCTGGTGCTTCGTTCCCCGCCTGGTTCCCCAGTCTGATATGGGGAACTTTTCCGTGTCTGTCCCTGAGCTGACCCTTGTCAGCCCCATAACCTAACCTCGTTTCTTCTCCCTTCCAACCTCCCTCCTGTCCGTGTTCCTCAACCCGCCATTTTTCCCACCAAGGGTGCTCCTTTGAAACTCTGGCCTAGAACACTCCTTAGTGACTTGTCTCCCTCGTGGAGGTTGAGCACCTGTGCCGCCTTTCCCCTTCTAACGCTGACTCTCCTGCTCTTCTCCACCCCCCATCCCCTTTCCCCAGTGGAGAAACTTCCCTGGGAGCAGAGGAAGCTGCTCCGGTGGAAGATGAGCACAGTGACCCCCAACATTGTCAAGCAGACCATTGGACGGTCCCACTTCAAAATCAGCAAGAGTGAGTCACCTGCCTTACTGCGAGCCTGTCCTCTGCCCCGACAGATGGGCTCTGGGCGGGAGGAGGGCCCTAGGTCCCTCCTGCTCTGCAGGGACCCTGACCTGGAGTTTCCACCTCCTAGGAAGACATGGCTCTGAAGTCCATCTGGGCTGGAGCCTGGTCCTCAGAGTTAGAAGACAGAGAGCCGTTGTTCTCTTCCTGACCCCAGGGTCTCATGTAGGACAGCTCCATGGCGACTCTTAGAAAACTGGGTCTGGGAGCTGTGCCCAGGCCCGGTGGTATTTCTGGGGCCTCTGAGCCTCTCTGTCCCAAGGACTGAGCTGCTAGCAGGGCTGACTCCCTGATGTGCCTTCTGTAGGAAATGATGACTGGCTGGGCTGCTGGGGTCACCACATGAAGTCTCCTAGTTTCCGATCCATTCGGGAGCATCAGAAGGTAGGGGTCCTTTCTGGCGAGCCCTTCCCCTGGACTTCGGACCAGGCAGGAGGAGGTTGGTGTGGGCAGGGGGGCAAGAGGAGGATGACCGCGGAGAAGCCAGGAACGTGCACAGAGGAGCAGAGGCGGTCCCGGAGGAGGGGGCAGCGGGGCCCTGGCGGGTCACGTACGTCTAGTGGCGCAGCTGCCGCCTCCCAAAGACACTTTCTCCTCTGGTGTGTCATGAGATGTGGCACGTGTTCCCATGACTCATATCTCTCCTGTGACCACTGTGCATTGCCTCTGGTCCTCCAAGCTGGATATGCACAAAGAGGACCCTGGTCTCATGTTGCGACAAAGGAGTCCCTTGCCCCCAGACCTCACGAAGGCCAGGTGCTTTCCTGTCTTTGCCCTACAGACTGTCACGGCAAAAGACACTTAAGGGGAATATCATGTCTGACTTAATCATGGTTCTCTGGCTATTCATGAGCTATCAACTCCTCAGGGGCACTACATTTTGGTGTTTTTTTGTTTGTGTTTTAATCATCTTTTGGTGAGTGCTCCGCAAGGGAGTACTTACCATCAGATGGTGATGGTAAAGATGGATCAAGAGCTCAGAGCGTCGCTAAGGAAGTTGGAAGGGCACCAGTGAGCCTTGCTGTCTTCCTCCTGGCCTCACCTGGGCCCTCTCCGTGCTCTCACCCTTTGTCCCTTCTGTAGCTAAACCACTTCCCAGGTTCCTTCCAGATTGGGCGAAAGGACCGACTATGGCGGAACCTGTCTCGCATGCAGAGCCGCTTTGGCAAGAAGGAGTTCAGCTTCTTCCCCCAGTCCTTCATCCTGCCCCAGGACGCCAAGCTCCTGCGCAAAGCCTGGGACAGCAGCAGCCGGCAGAAGTGGATTGTTAAACCAGTGGGTGGATCGCGGCGGGCGGCGGGCTGTGGTCTGAGAGTGCGGATGACGGCGTACTGGGCCGGCAGCAAAGCTCATCTCCTTCCACTTGACTTCTAGCCAGCGTCAGCCCGAGGCATTGGCATCCAGGTCATTCACAAGTGGAGTCAGCTCCCCAAGCGAAGGCCCCTCCTGGTACAGAGGTGAGCCCGTCTCCAGCTCACATCCCACTCCTCATTCTCCCATCTCCTCAGCCTGGAGGTTCCCTTTTTATAGTGAGTGTTCTTCTGCCCTTTGTCCTCCCAGCCATCGACCTCCGTCAGCCAACGGTTTTAAGGTCTTTGCCTTGGGGACTGTTGACTGGCTTTTGCTGTTTTACCCACCGAGCCCTGTCTCGTCGGTCCTGTCCCTAAAGCTGGCCCTTCCCTATTTAGGTATCTACACAAACCCTACCTCATCAGCGGCAGCAAGTTCGATCTGCGAATCTATGTTTACGTCACCTCCTACGATCCTCTGCGGATTTACCTCTTTTCAGATGGACTCGTCCGCTTTGCCAGTTGCAAGTATGTGGTCGCTGAGGCCTCACCCTGACAGCTCTGGGGATTTGTTTTCCTGAGAACGAGGGAAACTGGAGGATGCCAAGCAGAAAAACAACACGTTGTGGTAGTTTTTGTTGGCAAAGGAGAAGGAGGGGTATATCTGGAAAACCCAATCTTCCTTTCCTCTTGTGTGTCTCCTATTACATAGAACACTTCACTTCCACCACTTCTGGTCACCAAATGCGTGGGGCTTTTCTCCACAGGAAGCAGTTCTCTGCAACACCAGCTGGGTATCCTGCATTTTAACTCCCCTTCTGACACTGGCAACGCGCCCCCCCCACCTCACCCGCCAGGGTCCGAGCTCCCAGCTTGGGGCTCCATCTCACGAGGTTGCCCCTTCCTCCTGCTTCAGATGCCTGTCACCAACCCAGGTGCCCCCTGTGCTTCTCATTGGTCAGCTAGAAGTCAGAGGTTCCTGGGACCCCCTTCTCAGCTTCCATTAATTTGCCAGAGCAGCTCATCATAAAAGGAGATGGTAAAGTTCAGTTACAGGCTATCATCCAGATAGAAGAGACAAGGTGGGGTGTCAGAGGAGCTAAGGCACAGGACAGCGTGTATGGCAAGGGGCACAGTGCTCCCCTGCCCTCTCTGGGCACCACTCTCCGAGCACGTGCCACAGGCTCACCCACCCAGAACACGCACCCTGTAATTTTGGGGTTTTATGGAGGCTTCATCACATAGGCATGATTGATCGTTAATTCTGTTTTTAGCCCTTCTCCCTCTTAAGAGGGGGGCGCGGCCAAAAATTCCAAGCTTCTAACCATGGCTTGGTTTGTCTAGTGATCAGACCCTATCCAGGAGCCCACCCAAAGTCACCTCATTAGAACACAAGACACTCCTATCACCAGGAAATTACAAGGGTTTCAGGAGCTGGGGTCAAAGACCAAATATTAGTCAAAAGATGCTCTTATAGTGCTCTTATCACTGAGGAATTTATACGGGATTTAGGAGCTCTGTGCCAGGAACCAGGGGCAGAGACACACACGTAAGTTTCTTATTATAAATCGCATTGTCACATGGGGAAGAGGAAATGAGAAGGTTCTCGACCTCACTGAATGTGAGGTGGGTCTTTCTGCAGGACTGAGGTGGGATGAAGGAGATGAGTCCCACATACCTTGCCCTACACTTCTCTTCCACCTGGCTGTTCATCTGTATCCTTTGTCGTCTCCTTTTATAAGGAACGAGTAAACAGAAGTAAACTGGTTTCCTGAGTTTTGTGAGCGGCTCATGATAATGGAGCTGTGGTATTCTAGAAACCTTAGCAATAGACATACTTATCAGACTCTTGTGTATCTGAAAAGATCTGTCTGTCCTTTACTGCCTCGGGATTTGGGGAAATGTCCACCTGCCGTCTCCCTGTCTTACCTCTGCCTTTCTCCTCACTTCCAGGTATTCCCCTTCCATGAAGAGCCTTGGCAACAAGTTCATGCACCTGACCAACTACAGTGTCAATAAAAAGAATGCCGAGTACCAGGCCAACGCCGATGAAACGGCCTGCCAGGGCCACAAATGGTACCCAGGCGGCGTCCCTGTCAGGCGGAGGCCTAGGGGAACATAGGGTTCTGGGCTTTGGGGAGGTTCGGGGGCATGGGTCAATGGAGGATTGATGTAAAACCCAAAGGTTATGTAAACACTGGGCAATTCAGAATTGGTCTGTTTCCATCCAAGCTCCTCTCTTTCTTAATTGAAAACCTCAAAAGAAGAGACATGGAGAGAACGCCTTTGGACCTCTTACTCCCTTTTCTTTTCTCTTTTCTTCATCACCCATTCATAGAATATAACCCCAGACACTCCCTCCCCCTCCCCCCTGCTTTGCAGGGCACTGAAGGCTTTATGGAACTACCTGAGCCAGAAGGGAGTCAATAGTGATGCCATCTGGGAGAAGATAAAGGATGTTGTCGTCAAAACCATCATCTCGTGAGTCACACTACCACCCTGGGTGTGGGGCCTGCCACTGCACCCCTTGGCTCATGGGCCTCCACACGGCTGCGCCCCAGACGCCGACCACGCTGTGTGTCAGTTTCTGAGGACAGGGAATAGGAAGGAGTGGATGGAATTCTGCTCCTTTACTGAACTTCCTCTCCAGAAGCTGGCTCCAGATCGGAGGCATCTCTTGGGAGCTGCTTTTCCTGGGGTGCTTCTGTTCTCCCATCTCTGGGCAGTGTAGGTAGGGCTCTCCGGGAGGAGCCGGGCTGAAGACTTGGCCTTCCCCGTGACCAGGTCCGAACCCTATGTGACCAGCCTGCTGAAGATGTACGTGCGGCGGCCATACAGCTGCCACGAGCTCTTCGGTTTTGACATCATGCTGGATGAGAACCTCAAGCCCTGGGTCCTGGAGGTCAACATCTCCCCGAGGTAGGTGCAGTTCTCAGGGCGCTCAGGGTACAACCCTGCCTGTATCCTCACGGTCCTCTTTCCACTCTGGCCTCGCTGACTTTGGGAAGACCTTTCCTGCGCTAGAATTTGTGTTTTCCCTTCGTGATCTGTTTTTCGCTCCTTCGCTCATTCTTGGCCATGATCTCAAGCTTCTTTTGAGGATGGAGAGAGATTGTTAAAAGTTGCTCTTTCCAGGGGCGCCTGAGTGGCTCAGTCGTTGAGCGTCTGCCTTCGGCTCAGGTCATGATCCCAGGGTCCTGGGATCGAGCCCCGCATCGGGCTCCCTGCTCCGCGGGAAGCCTGCTTCTCCCTCTCCCACTCCCTCTGCTTGTGTTCCCTCTTTCGCTGTGTCTCTCTCTGTCAAATAAATAAATAAAATCTTAAAAAAAAAAAAAAAAAAAGTTGCTCTTTCCAGCTTGATCCCTACCGCATGCTTTTCCCCTAGCAAACAAAGGTCGTAGTCAGGAACCAACCCTAGTGAGGTTATTCACTCTCTGGGGGGCAAGAAGTCCCCCACGGTGGTGCTCAGGAGTCGGGAAGGCAGGGTACACACAGGGCTAGCACTGACTCGGGCGCATAGCCGGAAACCGCTTTACTACTCCTTGTACCCTTTCTCCGAAGCCTCCACTCCAACTCTCCACTGGACATCAGCATCAAAGGCCAGATGATCCGGGACCTTCTGAACCTGGCAGGCTTTGTTCTGCCCAACGCAGAGGATGTCGTGTCCAGCTCCAGCAGCTCCGGCAGCTCCAGCGCCAGGTCGGCCGGCAGCATGAGCAGCCCCATGGGGACTGTGGGCAGGAAGGGTGCCCGGGCGCCCCCTCCTGCTGGGTCTCCTGTGCTGCACAGTCTGCTCCCACAGTCTTCCCGCACACCTCTTCCCACATCAGTGCCCCTTAAAAGCATTGCTGGTTATATTGTTCCCAGCTCAGGAATCTCCACAGGGCCTGGGGAATCAGCTTTTAACTCCTCGCAGGGACATTCGGGGCCCCAGCCTCCTTTCCCCAGGCGCCCCTCCCTCTACTCCTCTTCCTGGCTCCTGTGCTCTGACAAAACAGTCACTCCTAGAACCTCAGAGTTGGAAGGATCAGCGAATCGAGTCTCCTCTCTGAAATGTGTGTGGCTTCTCACTGTCCCTCCATAGTGTCCCCTCCTCTGCTCATGGGGTTGCTTCCTCCTGACATTGCCCTCAGTCAGGCCTCCCTGTTGGGACCTCACCCACCCATGGGAGCCTAGCTGAGGGCATCATCTTCATGAAGCCAGCTCCACGTGGGCTCTCTCCACCACAGCCCCGAACCTCTTGGAAGCACTCTTGAGGGAAGGGAGCTAATATTTAGTTGGGACCTGCTGTGTGTAAGGAGAAACCTGTAACTTATCTCCACCACAACCCCATAAGGTTGGTATCAGTATCCTCAGTTGACAGATGAGGAGACGAAATCACTGGGATTACGCAGCACACCCATGGTTATTCAGCTACAAAGTGGTAGAGCTGGGATTCCAATCCTGATTTTCTGGGAACAACACTTGCTTTCCCCACCATGCCTTGTAGACTCCGGTGTGGCTCTGTGCTGTGGCTGTCACTTGACCCCTGCCATCTTGTGAGCTCTGTGGAGGCCATCTTCGTGTCTGTCAGCAGTAGCTGTAGTGATGTGGATGAGGAAACTGGGCAGGGAGTCCTGTGGTGTGCCCAGGGTCGCGCAGCCAGTGCTGAGCTGGGTATTTAGGAGGTGTCCACCAAATTCAACTAAATTGACCTACACAGCGATTATTCCGGAGTCCTCTTTTCTTACCACTGACATGCAACCCAGAGAGTGTGCCTTGTACTCTTCTAGTTATTCCGTGGTATTTGATCTTTGATGCTCAGACAGGCTACTTGAGTAGAGTACACTGCAGTCTCATCTACTTGAGTAACAAATATCTGTTCAAACTTCTTTGTCTTCTCTTGAGAAGGGGGTGACTCCCTCCAACAAACCACTTAACCTTGGTGCCCCAGTGAGTCCCCTGACCCCAGCCAAGAGTTGTCTTCCTCCTCCAGCTAAGCTAAGGGTCCTGAGATGGACCCCCTCTCCACATGTCCTCAGGATGTGAAGCTGCTGACCTTACACTTTGCTTTTTTTCCATCCCCTGTGTTAGCCTGCCCAGCTCCCCCAGGGATAAATGTCGAATGGCCCCAGAGCATTTCACTGCACAGAAGATGAAGAAAGCCTATTATCTGACCCAGAAAATTCCTGATCAGGTAGGAGATTACCCTCCACCCCCAAGTGCCAACAGAAAGTTTCCCTGGTGAAACATTTAGGAGCCCAAGGCAAGCAGTTTTCCCTCTCTCTAACCCAGCTCCGGGGTCCCTTGGTGTGCAGGGATCTGCTGGCATATGTGTGGTTCCAGGGGAGAGTTGATGGCCTTTATCACGTGGTCAACCACAGCTCTTAGCCAAATGCTGTACTAGCCATCCCCTGTTGTCAGAGCCGTAGACCCTTTGGGTTTCTTTCTTGAGGTGCAGTGAGCCCCGGGGAGGCTTGATGTCTTCTTGGAGCAGATGAGAGTAGCAAACCGAAGGCGGCTGCCAGATCTCAGTTGCTAGATTCTGGTCTTGACTCCATCCAGCCAACCTTTTAAAACCTCTGTGCTCCAGGGGCTCCCCCACCCAGACCAAGAGTATCTTCTCCAGACAGCAAAGCTCAGTAGGCTTGGGAACAGACAAGGTCCTGAGCTGACCCACTAGTCAGCCTTGGTGTTCCCTTGGGAGTCCTGGAGCCCTAGGACCTCAGAGCTGTGCTCACCGTCCCCCAGCTTTTTGATCCTCTGCCTCCAGCTCACACCCTCTTGTCACACTCTCTTCCTCTCCATTCCTTGGGCCTTAGGACTTCTATGCATCTGTGCTGGATGTCCTGACGCCAGATGACGTTCGGATTCTGGTTGAGATGGAGGATGAGTTTTCTCGCCGTGGTCAATTTGAACGAATTTTTCCTTCCCGAATCTCCTCTCGCTATCTCCGCTTTTTTGAGCAGCCACGATATTTCAACATTCTCACCACCCAATGGGAACAGAAGTACCATGGCAACAAGCTCAAAGGTGATGTGTCCTCCTTGTCCACAGGAGGCCATGTTTAATGAGTGATTAAATCCTAGTAGACCAAGAAATGGGCCTCCCTGACAAGGAGCATTGACCAGTTGATTCCACCCTCTTGAGTCCCACCCCTGCTAATCTTGTCCTAGGAGTAGATCTGCTTCGGAGTTGGTGCTACAAAGGGTTCCACACGGGAGCCATCTCTGATTCTGCTCCAGTGGTGAGTGACGCCATTGTGGGGGGGGGGGCAACTCCAGGCAGCACCCGCAGTCCTCCACCTTAAGAGCGCAGCATGGACTGGATGTAGGTTCAGACCCTCTCACTTCTCCCCTAGGCCCTGCCTCTGTGTCTCCTGACCCTTCCCTTTCACTGGAAGAGTGGCCTCCAGGATTCCCTGGCTGCCTTTCTTTCAGGGTCAAAGAGTGCTTTGTAGCCTCAACTTCTTTTTTTTTTTAAAGATTTTATTTATTTATTTGACAGAGAGAGACACAGCGAGAGAGGGAACACAAGCAGGGGGAGGGGGAGAGGGAGAAGCTGGGTTCCCGCGGAGCGGGGAGCCCAATGCGGGGCTCGATCCCAGGACCCTGGGATCATGACCTGAGCCGAAGGCAGACGCTCAATGACTGAGCCACCCAGGCGCCCCTGTAGCCTCAACTTCTTGTCTGAATCTGGAGAAAACAGATTTTTGTCCCAGATGGGCCCATGCCTGAAGGATAGGGAAGAGGAGAGCCCCATGATCACTCAGAGGTAGAGCCGGGAGAGAGTCCCAGGAGCCTAAAGACTCCCGCCTGACTTCTGCCTAGCCCTTTTGGCCTCACGGCTTCCTTTGTTTTTAGTGGTCTTTCCCAACATCACTTCTGACCGTCCCAAAGGGGGATGTGGCCCTCTGTGCTCTCTCCAAATCAGAGACTGGCAAGCTGGGGTGAGTGCTGTCTGGGCAAGGGAAGGGTGTTGGGTGTGAGTTCAGGAAGTTTTCTTCTTCGTCTCTTCCCACATTATGATGAGATCAGCGTTCTCCATTTGGGGGTGTGGGGGCGTGGACTGTGTGGCCACCCGTCTCCTCTGCCTGGTGGCTCCCCATCTGCCTGGCACAGTCGAGCCGGAGTGCAGGGTTAGGTCTCTCAGCTGTGCCCACTGCCCGTGGGCTCCTTGAGGTCTCCTCTCACACGTTCCCGTTTGCACCAAGCTCTCCAGCCTTCAGATAAAGAAGATGTATTTTATCGTTCTCTCTCTCTCTCCGTATAACGATGGTGTGTAGCCTTGCAAGGTCGTGAATGCCTGCTCCAGACTCTGAAGGCAGATCATAGGCTGAAGTCCCAGCTACACGGCCGTCTCAGCCATTTCTTTCCCCTCCTGTTTCCTTCAGAAAACACAGCTTCTCCGAGGGAAGCATACCACTCTCTGAAGACGGGACCATCCCGAAGCCCAAGAAGACCCAAGCTGGCCTTTCTCCTCTCCCCGAGAAACCCAGTTCTTCCAGGGACAGTGAGGACACCAGCAAAGAGCCCAGCATCTCCACCCAGATGTTACCTCTGATGAAGTACTCTGGGCAGACTTCGAGACTGTCTGCTTCCCCCACCTCCCAGTCAACCGGTGACTCACTCCTGGCTGCTGTGAGCCCATGACTGGCCTCCCTCCACTCGCCCCTGCCTAGGAGCACCAGTGTTAGCTACCTCATGGGAACTGGCCGGCCGGCTGGCTGGCCAGCCAGCCTGAGCCCCAGCCCCTTCCTCAAAGTTTTTTTTTTTTTTTTTTTTGAAGTGGTTGAATTGCAGAGATGGGTATCTGGAGGGGTGGTGGGAATGTGGGAATGGGGAGAAGGTGAGGAAGGTTCACTGGCTGGTACCTCATATCTTCATAGAGAAGCCACTGATGGCCACTCAGCCTTATAAAGCAGGGTTTGGTTTCTAACTTCAGAGAGCTGTGTGTGGTTTGTTTTCGACCTTGGTACGGTGATGAAGTCACAGCTCTAGAGGAGAAACCGCACTGAACACATTTGGGCCTGAAGTCCTTTGCCTGTAATTGAGGAGGTCCCTCCAAAGGTCCTTATCTCCTCAGATCTCACCCTCAGTCCCGGCACCCCACACCCTGTCCTGAGGACACTGAGAAACCTTCAGTCTTCCTTAGTAGACAGGCAGGGAGAGGCCATACACGATAAACCCACTTCCTGTCATCCTAGTCTTAGGGGCTTCACTTCCTTCATATACCCAGCAGCCAGCAGTCCTGAGCCTTCGTATTCTGACCTCACATCACCGCCTGTCCAACCTTCTGGACTTCTCTCTCTCTCATGGATGTTAGTTCTTAGCGCTCTGTGAAGTGAGAGGTCTTGTGAGCTTTGCAAATTTCCTGTGGCCCCAGGGAAGGAGCCCAGATAATCAGTTGCTGTTGTCTATGTCCATCCATCGAAGGACACAATCCAGGGCAGGAGCTGTGATTTCATGTCCCCGCAACACAGAGGGAGTCTCGGCTTCTGCTTACTCCCTTCACGGTCTCTGGTTAGCAGGGTCTGGCTCCCAGGTCACGGGGGCAAGTGGAGTCTGGTGGCGTGGCAGGTGGGTTTCAGGAGCAGTCACCCCTGTAGGATGGCCTTCTAGCCGGACCGCTGACGAAACTCTCATAGTCTTAACTGAATCTGCCTCCCTCCCCAAGACCCAGTAAGATGGCGAGTGTGGGATGTTGACTGAGTGAACGGTGCCTATGAAGAACACGAGCTCCCGAACCGGGCGTTCTGCTCCTCTCCTGGGGCAGAATGGCGTCAGGGGAAGCGCACGGTGTGATAGTGCGGATCAGAAAGGTGCTTTTCCCTCGAACTGTGCTCCTCCTCGAGCCAGCACTTCCCGGGAGCTGCTCGCCCCCTCCCCAGCCCTGTAGTCTCTGGTTTTCTAGCAGCAGTGCCCAGCGTGCAGCCCCCTGGCCCCAGGCCCTCTGCCTTCGTTCTCCGAGTTTTGGAAAGATCATCACCCTGCTTCGGAGCTCCTGGAGTTCTAAGTGGCGAGTTGGGATGGAGCAATAGAAAAGTCACTGAGAGGCCTGCCTGGGTTCAAGGCCACCCAGTAGATGGCTGCGCTGGCCATTCGTTAGGCCATGTTGACAATTGTGAAGAAAGCTTGGTGGAAAAGTCCTCAGCAGCAAGGACGTCAAAGTCAGGCCCAGCGGAGAGGCCCTGGCAGTCTGGTTAAATCCCTTCTGATAGAATTGAAGCCAGCTCCCCCCGTCCCACCTGCATGCAGGACCCTAGTGCCAGGTCAAACGAACCTTGTGACGGGGGCAGGACCCGGCCTTCGCCTTCCTAACAGAGCTGGCCACCTGCTTCAGTACTTTTGGGGTGGCTGGTCTGGGGTGACGGCTTTGGTCCGGAGGCCCGGCCGTGCTGGTTTGCTCCTTGGAAAGCAACTTGAGGTCTTCGGCCCGCCCTCTGAGTGTCCCCAGATGGCATCCCCCCGTAATGAGAAGGGGGAGGGGACCGGCGTTGCGGCAGCGTGGGAATGGGGGTTGGGAGAAGGGCTTAGTTAAGCAAGTAATGAAAATAAGTGTCCTTAGTAGTTTAAAGCATCTTTGTACGGACACTATTTTTAATTTCCATCCCATCACAGCATCTGAAGGTGTGGGTGTTTTGCCGGATGGGAGAAAGGAATGGGGCTTATAGTCCCCCTTCACCCTTGAGAGAAAATTGAATCTTGCTTGAGCATTCAGCATACATGTTTAGCAATGAATACCCACGGTATAAGGTATTCAGCTAAATAAGGACTTTGGGGGAAGTAATGAAATTTTTGAAAAGTTTTAACTTTGGAGCTATAGTAGGGAAAATGTCAGAACGTGTCCACTGTTCTTCTAAATTGATGACTTAACACCCAGTCCCTGTTTGGAGACCGGGGAGAAACACAGGGTATTTCTGGATCAATGGAGTAGGGATCTGGGGTGGGGGCATGGAGGGTGGTCACTATTCCTGTTCACTTCGGATTCACTCAGGATTGATCAGAAACTAATTTAGAATGCATACTGATGAAGAGGTGGTGTTGTGATAGGAAGAGCACATGGACCTTGTAGTCTGACCTTGGATTCTAATCTCGATTCTGCTGTGTGACCTTGGGCATATCATCTAACTTTTTAAAGTCCAGTGTTTTGTTTTAAGGTTTTATTTATTTATTTGAGCACACACGCATGAACAAAGGGCAGGAAGGAGAGGGAGAGAATCTCAAGCAGACTCCGCACTGAGCGTGGAGCCTGATGCGGGGCTCAATCCCACCACCCCGAGATCACTGCCCGAACTGAAACCAAGAGTTGGACGCCCAAGCGACTGAGCTACCCAGGCACCCCTAAAGTCACGTGTTTTAAATAACACGAAAATAATACCTACATTGCAGGGCTGTGAAAATTAAGCAAGACATAGTAAAAGTACTTAGGACATAAAGGGAACTTAATACATAACACGGTCACTCCTTTCTCCATTTGCTGTCCAAGCCCTGTTCCTTGGCTAGGGGAAGGCAGGCAAGAAACGTAAAGCCCTTTCCACAGGGGAAGTGAAGCAGCTGAGACATTTTAGAGGTGAGGAAGGCCAGAACAGGCTTTATATACCTCATCACCCCCACACAAACACTACCAGCATTATTCATTCTACTGTTTTGCTCTTCATTGAGGGTTTCTTCAGTTAATATTTTACAGAATATTTGGGGCGCCTGGGTGGCTCAGTTGGTTAAATGTCTGCCTTTGGCTCAGGTCATGATCCCAGGGTCCTGGGATCGAGCCCCGCATCGGGCTCCCTGCTCAGCGGGAAGCCTGCTTCTCTCTCTCTCCCTCTACCTGCCACTCCCCCTGCTTGTGCTCTCTCTCTCCATCAAATAAATAAAATATTTTACAGAATATAAATGCCCTGGGACAGGAAACACATTAAGCATTGCAAGTATGTGAATTGAATGAAATTATTCAGCCCTATCCCAAGAGAAACGTTGATAGAAAAGGGAGAGCAGGGGAGCACTGAGGACCTGGTGGCCGGAAGGGGGAGGAGCAGGGTCCAGAAAGCAGGAGACCTTGAACTGGAGCTGGAGCCAAGAACATGCACAGACCCAACAGCTGTGCCAAGGACAGTTGTTACAGGTGCATTCTTAAGCTCTTAGGCTATTCATTGAGGGCGACTATCCCTCTCACCATGGCTGAACGACACACCGGGCTGCCCCCTGAGTCCATCCAGCCCTGGGCCAGTGAAGAAGGTGGATAACCCAGCACATGGTAGGTACTTCCACGTCCTGTCAGCTGAATTAGTTAAATAAGGGGGGGCACCAAAGGCAGCTGGGGGACCTCCCCTTCTCGTTTCCTCTGGATTTGTCCTTTAAGACCTAAGATTAAGCTGTGTACTTACTGGTTGAATCCCCCAACTGCTTTGAGACTTTTCAGAGATGTGTAGCTGAGGGACCTCTATCTCATGCCACTTGTGATTCTGATCCAGCCTCTCAAACCTTCTTGGCCTTTGGACCCCGCCCCCCACCCCCAGCAGAGTTTTCATCCTCGTTAATGTCCAGGGATCAATAGATGCTCTTTTGATATGACCTTTCATCAGCTTCAGAGCAATGAAAGCTGCAAGCAATCATATGTTGCTCTTGGCAGATTTCTTACATAGATGAAAGCACACGAGAAGGATCAATAGTTGTTTTCTAAAACCCATTTGTGCCTTTATTATAATGGACTTGGACACAGAATGCTAGGGACTGTCACTGGAAAAGCTAACACAATTTGAAAAGCTCTTTTCTCTCCACGCTTCAATTAGTGAAGTGGGGAGACCAAACCATACTTCATTGGCTAGTTATGAGGGTTAAATGGGGGGGGGAGGATGTATGGAAAAAATTAGGCAAAGTGTCTGATAACATACAGTTCAGATTTAAAATAGATTCTAGGGGCTCCTGGCTGGCTCAGTCAGAAGAGCATGTGACTTTTGATCTCCAGGTTGTGAATTAAAACCCCATGTTGGGTGTAGAGATTACTTAAAACTTTAAAAAAGTGGGGGGCGCCTGGGTGGCTCAGTCCTTAAGCGTCTGCCTTCCGCTCAGGTCATGATCCCGGGGTCCTGGGATCGAGTCCCACGTCGGGCTCCCTGCTCAGCGGGAAGCCTGCTTCTCTCTCTCCCTCTGTCTACCATTCTGCCTACTTGTGCTCTCTCTCTGTGTGTGTCAAATAAATAAATAAAATCTTAAAAAAAAAAAACTATAATGATGCAGGTTTAGAGATTTGGTGTATGTTCTTCAGTGAGCCAATGGGGCGAAGCTACCATCTACGAATATGACTGAACCTCTAAGAATGTTGAGGCCAAATGATAGGGCAGTGTGGCTGGGCCTCCACCTGTTCTCCCAGGTGTCTGCTGCAGGTGCACCCTGGGCGGCGTCCTGAGCAGAGAGCCGCTCCTCCAGAGACACGGGTGTGGCTGGAAAGGGAGCCTCGTCCTCGCATGCCATGCAAGGCACATTCAAGGAGAACCTGGTGTTGAACTGTTTGTAGAGAATCTGTTTCTGGGTCTGGGTTGCTATGTAGCTGAGCAATTCCCTCATCGGATCTATTGAAAGTCAGCCCTTGACATAGGGGGTGGGGGTGGGAAAAGGGCAAAACAAAAGAAAACCAAAGTACAAGAAAAACTACAAGGAGACACCACTTACGTAGTAGGATAGCTCACATGAAAAAGGCTGAAAATACCACGCGTCAGTGTGGATGCAGAGCAACTGGAATGCATACGTTGCTTGTGGGAATGCAAAATGGTACATTGGAAAACAGCTTGGTAGTTTCCTGTAAAGTGAAACATACTCTTAGCATATGACCCAGCAATTCAGTCCTGCATGCAAATGTTCATAGCAGCTTTATTCATAGAGCAAACACTTGGAAACAACCCAAATATCCAACACCTACTGAATAAATCAATTGTGATATATCTGTTCAATAC